TTATAGAAAATACTGTGAACATTTCCTGAATCTGTTAAACATCATTTGGGAAATATTAGAAGAAGAAAAATCACAGGAGGGCGAATAAATCTGACTTCAACTGTACATTAAACTCACATGTAAGTTATCATCCTTCATGTGTGTGCGTGTGTGTGTGTGTGTGTGTGTGTGTGTATGTGTGTGTGTGTGTGTGTTCTGCTAATCACTATCTGTGTGTTTTCAGAAACATTAGCAAGCGTCTGACGGAGGAACAGGCCAGAAGAGCGTTAGACAGAGCCGTCAAACTGGAGCAGGACTTCATCGAGTGTTTTTCAGGTGAGTCCATATGATAATGAGCTGTCATCTTAACACAACCTTTAATATAAAGCCCTCTCAAGCCATAAAATTAAAGCAGTTTTCCTTTTCCATCAGTTTAGTCCTTTATTTATCAGGGACTGCCACGGGGGAATGAACCTCCAACTATTCTAGCATATGTTTTACACAGCGGATGCTCTTCCAGCTGCAACCCAGTACTGGGACACACTCATTCACACATACTCATACACTACGGCCAATTAAGTTCATCAATTCCCCTATAGCTCATGTGTTTGGACTGTGGGGGAAACAGAGCACCAGTTGGAAACCCACAACAACACTGAGAGAACATGCAAACTCCACAAAGAAACGCCAACTGACTCAGCCGGGACTCGAACCAGCGACCTTCATGCTGTGAGGCCACAGTGCTCACCACTAACTTAAATTAATTAAAAATCTGTGGATATATGCATCTTCACACTTCATTTATGTATAATTCACACTATTAACACAGCATTAACGAAAACTTTTAGGTCAATAAATTGCTAATTAGCTGTTTATTAATAGTTTGTAAGGCTTTAGTTGGGTTTGGGTATTGGCAGGATTAGGGATGTATAATAAGATCATACTTTATAAGTGCTAATAAGCAGTTAATATCTTAATAATAGTCATGTAATAAGGCAGTAGTTAATAGTGTGAATTATTACTTTATATATATATATATATATACACACACACACACATAGTTGAATTTAAAATTATTAGCCCCCTTTTGATTTTGATTTTTCCTTTTTTAAATATTTCCCAAATTATGTTTAACAGAGCAAGGAAATGTTCACAGTATGTCAGATAATATTTATTCTTCAGGAGAAAGTCTTTATTTGTTTTATTTCAGCTAGAATAAAAGCAGTTTTAAATTTTTTAAACCCATTTTTGGGACAAAATTATTAGCCTCTTTTTTTTCGATAGTGTACAGAACAAACCATTGTTATACAATAGCTTGCCTAATTACCTTAACCTGCCTAGTTAACCTAGTTAAGCCTTTAAATTTACTGTCATCTTGGCAAAGATGAAATAAATCAGTTATTAAAGATGAGTTATTAAAACTATTATGATTAGAAATGTGTAGAAACAATCTTCCCTCCATTAAGCAGAAATTGGGAAAAAAAAAATAAACAGGGGT